TCATTTGGCCGACATTTTGGCTTCAGTGACTGAAAAGTCTGCTTCTATCATGCGACCATTAGTTCGATATTACTGAAAAATAGGACACGCAAGTCAGTTTTTATTTTTTGGTGACGGTTTCTTGGAGTTTTTTCCTGGTCCCTGCGTCGATTGTGAAATTGATTGATACATTTTTTCAAACTTTTTTGCGACGTTCCGTGAAGTGGTGAACTGCAGATCACCGTTTGAACTTCCTACATGCATCCACGCGATTTTGTTACCGAATTTAAAAAAAGCCCAAGTTTTCATCCGTTGTTAGTCTGCTTTGGAAGTGACTTTTTATTTTTATTTTTTTATTTTTGTCTAACTTACCTTTTACTTATTGTTTTCGTGATTCCTGCAATTTCTGTAATTCTGGTTACTTTTAAAAACCGTCAATTGTTTTATTGCTCTTCAGTTAAAACGCATTTATAAACATCTTTCCTCTGTTAGATACGATTGCTTTTTTCAGAGTTTGTTATGAAATGTTGTATCTTCTGATTGCTACACTAATAAATGCTAAGGGATTGTATGCAGAACAAGATTTTTTCATTGAGAAACCAGAAAACAGGGTGGGTAGTTTTTTATTTTGATTTTGCTGTGTTATTGTCTTCTTGTTTTATAAGTAGTTCATGAATCAGTGGTTTCCTGCATTTATTTTTGGTTTTGCAGAGTGCCTTGTTAGGACAAGATGTCACACTTCGTTGCGTGGCAGATCAGTCGGTAGCTGAGAATGGTAGATTACTTAGCCAATGGAAAGCCAACGACGATGGATTATTAGGGTAATTGAATTCTTTCCTTTATAAGGGAGTATCGTGCCATTGAAAAAATTACGAGCGATAGAGGTGCATCATTTGAATTTTATAATTTTTTTGCGGCTAGTAATGGTTCTTCAACAAAGTTCTTACCCTAACGAGCGAGAGCGAGTATCTACAGCGTTCAGTCTTCTTCAAGACTTTAATATAATACTTTCCCACTGTACACTTCTCTTTGTGTTTTGACGAGTATTTAAGTGTGGTCCTTTGTGCAAATATTATAGTTTCACTTGAGCAGTGGCAATTCTTTCCTTTCTTTTTCAGATATCAGGATGAGGGATTACTACCAGGCTACGATGGGCGTTACTATTACCTCTCTAGAACTAAATTTGAAAAGAACTTGCTGATTAAGAATTTGAGTTTGAAGGACAATGGTTATTTTGAGTGTCAAATGACACATGCTGTGGACGGTGCTCCCACTAGTCAACATCGGGCTAAGGCGTACGTAACTGTATTAGGTAAGTTAATGGCCGTTTCTAGCAGTGAGGTGCATTTTTTTAAGAGTAGGATCTTTCATTTTATTTTATTTGGTGCGCACATGCTCTGTATTTGAAATTACTGTTATCAATTCACCACTCGCCCTCCTGTATTTGTTTGTTATTTTTCATTTAGTACCTCCTTCGGAAGTTGTTTTGGTGCCTTATGGCAACGGCGCGGTGGTTGAAGTTGCTGAAGATGCGGAGTTTGTCATTTCTTGCGAAGCGCGGAATGCTAAACCAGCCGCTGTGCTTAATTGGTTTACGGATGGAAACTTGATCAAAGAAAATGTACGCAAAAAGAACGTACCGAATAGGAATTTCACTATCAATTCACAGGCTAAACTCCATTGGACGCCAAAGTTAGTTCTTCTGTGAAAGTAATGAAATTGAAGAGCTTTAAGAGTATCGGTTCTCATCTTAAGTTAACTGAGCAGCTGTGAGAATTCTTCGTGATTTAAAACAAGGGTAGGCATTTAGTGACATTCTTTTATTTTGATTGTGGTGTTTTACCGTAGTCGGATGATCCCCTAAGGTAAGAAAGCATATCAATCTTCTTGTCAGGTATTTTTTAGATGAGAGGGTAAGATATGCTTTAGTTTAATGTTTGAAAAGTTATCTTTTGTAGCCTAGTAATGATGGTTGTTCAATTTCACGTCGTAGTTGCCTAAAGACATTACTAGCCACATTCCAGTAGCGCTTTTAATTCGTATCCGTTGGAGTCGGTTTAATAACATAATATTTAGAAGGTATGACAACAACAGAAAATTGACTTGCCAGTCGTTATACAAAGAAACTAATTCAGTTGACGACTTGGACGTCACGTTGAACGTCATCTGTATGTGTTTTCTGTAGTTTTTCCTTGCGTTTTAAATGATGAAAAGTAAATTCATTTTAATGATGTTCAGATCCGTCGGAGAAACCTAAAGTTCGAATAAAAGGGAATTACGGACAGGTTAGAGCAGGAAACAATATAACACTGTCATGTACAGCCAAAGATGGCAATCCGCCACCAGAGCTTAAATGGTATTATGGAAACAGGTTAATTGGTAGCGACTTTTATTATGATGCGAAAGCTCAGGTGGCTACTTTTTCTCTTGATACCATCCCAGTTTTATTCTGCGAACGGATAATTATACCAATAATTACTTAGATACTGTTTTTAAGCGTTATAATAATACTTGTTACACGGTTTCATTCTACTCTTGTTGCTGTAGGAGACTGTGAACGATTACTCTATGATTGTCAGTTCAGAAAGTAATGGCCTGGAGTATGAATGCAGGTCAACAAACGCGTTTGCTGGAGAGCCTCTAAAGACGACTTTGCAACTTTCTGTCGAATGTAAGGAATATTACGTAACTCTAGTGATCTCTAATTTTTTTAGGGGTTGTTGAGTTCTTAAGTTTAGATGCTTCTTCGAACGTTCGGATTACGGGAAGTGATACGGTCCGAGCTAATCAAACGGCACGATTTGTGTGTAGCTCCGGGTATAGCTTTATTTTTTTCCTTTTACAAATGTGAAAATCAATTTTTGTAATACTCAAATCTCGTATTTAACTTATTTTTTTGCCGCTCTCCGAGTTTTGATAAAAATAATTTATAATTCTAACAGCTACGCGAATCCACGAGCTAGCATTGGTTGGCAGGTTAACGGTTTAAACGTACAGTCTGTTCAGTCAAAGACAAGTGACAGTCCAAGAGGATTTATTACTGAGTCAATCATCGCCATTACGGCTGCAGATTATAACTATGGTAATAATGAGTTGGTTCTCGAGTGCTTTGCACGTAATGAAGTTGGTTTGGTTCGTGAGGAGCGGCGCATAATAGTACTCTGTTAGTTTAATACGTTGCTTTGCACCTATCATAGCTTACTAAAGTTTCCCACAGTTCCTAAATAGTATATTGCAGCGCCCCCAGGTGAGCCAGTAATCATAGGAATGAATGGCATTTCGGTAGACAACAATGTGGTGAATTTTACTTGCACAGCAAGCGGTGGTAATCCGTTGGCAAAATTATCTTGGTACCTGGGCCATCATAAGGTTTCGCTCTAAACACTTGATAGATTTGAAAAAAATTTTTTTGGGAGGGTTTTTTTTGCGGGATCTAGAAGCAGCTTTGCTTTGTCTGACTTCTTTTTCGCTTCTGATGAAAACTTTTTGAAGCGGTCGTCTAGGCACAGATCAAAAGTGCGGTGGAAAGAGGTAAAGTTGCAGAGAAATCAGAAATAACTATAAAGTTTGGTCTCGTGAATTCGTGCACTGCATGTTGCATTGAGTGGTCTTGACAGTCTTTTCCTCTTGTTACTTTGATGTATTTGCTGTTGGCCACTTTGCTTAATTCCTGTGGAAGTTTCAAAGGAAGATACGTTATAAAATGTTTGATGTTTCTTCTCATTTAGTTGCTTACCACGCGAACAACAGCGAAAGCAGATACCGTGCAAACTGTTGAAAGTGTCCTCACTCTCAAACTGAATCGCAGTATGCATCACCAGAAACTTCGTTGTGAGGCAGGAAATGAAGCTCTTGACAATCCGCGCCATACTGAATATGAACTTAACATTTTCTGTTAGTGTTTTTTCAGCAGTTGTTGTGTCTTGTTTCCATAAATCAGCGGATGCTTTTTCAGTTCCTCCTGAGTCGGTCACAATAGCAAAGAACTACCACTTAAAGGCGGGCGAAAAAAGCAGGTTGATTTGCCATTCAAAATTCTCGAATCCTGAAGCGGAAATTGGTTGGGAGTTTCCTGGTATGGGGAGTGCCAATTTTACTGAAGAGAAAAGGTTCTTATTACGGTATTATTCTTCGATGATGCTGCATTCTCTTGGTCTCTGTATAGTGATGAGCCTGACGGCACTTTATCGTTTTGTTACCTGGTTGCTTTTTAGGGACAACGGTAACAACGGATTTGACGTTAGCAATACTATTGAATTTATACCTACAAAAGTAATGGATAAAGCGATTGTGGCGTGTTTCGCACTGAGCAGTAAGTGGGCACGAGTGAACTCTTCTGAGTACCGCCTTAACGTTCAATGTGAGTCACATGCTACATTTCTGTTTAGGTCATATAGAATTCTATTTAGTCATAAGATATTACCTCCAGTTATTGTGACCTTATCGCACGTGTTTCTCCAACTTACGCCTTGTTGCCTAAGTTCTCCAGTTTTCAGATGCTCCTGAAGTGTCAAATTTAAAAGAAAGAATAATCATGCAAGAAGGAAAGCGATTTAATACGAATTTTACAGTGGAAGCAAATCCACCGGCTTTCAGTTTTGACTGGAGAAAAGACGGCATATCTTTTTTTGCTGAAATAGGTTCTTTGCGTGCTAAAGGTACCAAAAGTTATAGGAAATGTATTTGCTTTGTAAACATACGTCAGCATTAAAGCTTAGCGTCCATTTTCAAGCTGTTATTCTCTACGTCAAATGAGCTGGCTCTGTTTACAATTATTATGTTTGACACCGAGCCTTTACATTTTTAGATGCTAATTTGATTAGCCGCCATCTAAGAACTTCAGATAGTGGTGCTTACGAACTTGTCATTACCAATGATGTTGGGTCTACAACAATATTGTTTACACTTATTGTCCAGCGTAAGTTTTTTTTTTCTTTTGTTTTATACTGTGTTACAAAACTGCTTCATCGGTGGTTCACTTCTTTCTTACATGTCTTTCACAACTTGGTTCTTTATAAGTAAACCTTTATACCGTTGTGTCTTGTTTCACCTATAATTTGTCTTTTGATTTTTATTAACTGTTATTCTTTAGAAAAAGGATATTATTGTAGATCCTGCTAGAATCACAGAAATTTCTGGTGAGAAAGTTGTATCTGCTGGTGAAAAGGTGGTGCTATCTTGCACTGCTATAGGGATTCCTGTATTTTCAAATATGATACAGTGGTCTTATGAGAATGTTTTGGTGACTCATGGAGTTATTAGTGGTGATGAAGGTCATAAGAACTTGTCATTTATAGCCGCAAAGAATATGAGCGGCACTTTTGCTTGCTTAGCGGATAACGGGATTGGAGATGTAAGTGCTGTTTAATCTCAAGACAACTGGTAATGGTCTACAAAATGTTTACTGCTTTCATGATATGGGAAACAATTGTTTGTGGTGCACATGTGATGCTAGATTTGTATCTGCAGCCTGATCGAAGGGAAGTACGTGTTCTAGTTCATA